TACAAGACACATCTCTAATAAGATGGCATTCAAGGGACAGCTGACAGAAAAAAATTGAGACTAAAAGAAATGGCTAAGGGGGAAAAAAGTGCACAGAGGTCCTCTGAGGAAAACTGAAGTCTTGAAAAGGAAGGAAATAAAGTAGCTTTAGTAGATAACTGTTACATTTTGTGTGTTTCAGGCTTCGAACCCGAAACGTACTGGGACCGAATGCACCTGCTCCAGGAGGCAATAGCACACAGGTATGGACAGAGTGGGCTGAGCAGAGGGTTTGTGTCTCCCTGGATAATGTGGAATGAAGATCTGTGCCAGACAGTCACTCCTGGGTCCCGTGGGTTCTCTGCTCTCTGCCTCTCTGAAGTCTGCTCACAGACTGTTAGACTAAAATACAGTTCCCATGCCTGGAGCTGGTTCTGGGGGTGCAAGGGGCAGGTTTCAGCCTGTCACTCCTTAGGAAAACTCCTCCTAGGGAGGGCATTGCCTTTGGAAAGTGCCCTGTTATTCTAAGTTAGAAGCAGATAGATTGTAAATAGATTCTTCCTGAGAAGGGACAGTTATTTCCTCCATGTGGACTTAACACAGTCTTGAACTGGATGCCAACCAATGCTTGACAATAGGCAGGAGCCTGGGATGGAGCTGTACATAGGAGGTTGGGCCAAGTTTAAGAAGGAGTTGTTGGAAACTCCTTTGTGGAGTTGAACTTCCAGTTTGTTTCATGGTGTTGCTGCCAAGGTGTTTTTCGTGACAGAGAAACTGCCTTCTTTAATGGACTTTAGCTTGGAAACCAGCTTTCATTAGTTTAGAAAGCAGCAGAGGAACAAGTATCCTACAAACAGCAGAGAACTGTCAGGTGAGCTGCTTGAATTCTGCGTGGGAGAATGCCCAGCATGAAAAAAAATGATATTGCAGCTTGAAACATACCCAGGGAATGTCTGTCTTCTCTCCTTCTTCCCTCCCTCATATGTAGCTGCCCCGTTTTGTCAGAGGCTGCTCAGAGCTGCTGCTGCTCCTGTGTCCTGCACAGGTTGGGACAGGTCACAGGCTTTCACACTGTGCCTGGCAGGGCCAGAGAATACTTGGAGAAGCTCAGCTCTCTTCATCCCTTTTCCTCTTGCCTTCGGGCCTTAAGAAGGGGGAGCCTTTTTCATAGTGGAAGGATTTTCCCTGGTGCCCCTGCCCTGGACTGAGGAGTCCTACCTGGAGTGGCTCTTTTTATCTTTTTTTTTTTTTTTTTTTTCCTTAATTCCTGTGGTCTCTCTTTCTTCAGATTTGGATTTGTGCAAGATAAATACTCAGCCTCTGCATTCAACTTCCCAGCAGAGAACAAGCCCCAGTATATCCATGTCACAGGTGAGAGATAATTGGGAGGCACTGGACCGAGGAGGAGGTTTTTACAAACAAAAGAACCATTTTACCTGCAGTTTGTGTTTTGTGTCAGTGATGTTGGTCCTGTTTTGTCCCAAGCCAGATGACATGTAGGTGTGTCAGCCAAAACAAACCAGAAAACTGGAGGGGCAGTGGGAAAAGCACAAAGTGTTGCTGCTAGTCAATGGTGCTGGTTTGAAATCTTGCTTTATGGTGTCTCTAAAACTTTTCTTTCTAGGAGATGGAGAAATTAAAAAAAAAAATAAGGCAGAGCTTATTCCAAGGTCAGTGTAAATAAATGTGTACCCAGAGGTTAGAAGGAGGAAAAGGTCTTGGGACAAGTCAGTGCTCTGTTCTTGTGCTTAAGGTCAGTTGTAGATGCATTTCTACCCATAGACACTGAGGGAGACAGATAAAGCATTTAGGATCCACCTCCTTTAATTATTACTCTTCATAAATGTTGGTGGTCTGTCAGCACTTCTAACCAAGCTCCATGCATGGCATATTGCAGTAGAATGGATCCACAGTGTTCCCAGCGGTTGCTGAGACATGAAAGCAATGACAGGAAGAGAGCTTTTGGAAAATTGCAGAAGAGAATGGCAATTGATGGGAAGTTAGAAAGATGGATCAGAGCCTACAGCTTTGCTTCCTTCCCTGCCTGCAGGGGAAAGGCAGGCTGAGAGTGCTCTCTCCCAGTGTTGTAACACGCAGGAAGAAGCAGCGAAGGAGGAAAAATTGTATCCCATTTTCTCTTGCTGAAAGGCAATCAAATGACACTCAGGCCAGTTTCCTTTTCAGAATTTAATGAGCCAGCCCCCCGTTGCAGGGACTTGACTCTGCCTCAGACTGAAGCCCTCCTGTCTCCTCCAGGGACGGTGTTTCTGCAGCTGCCGTATTCCAAGCGGAAGTTCTCCTGCGGGCAGCAGCGGCGCCGGCGCAACTCCACCAGCTCCACCAACCAGAACATGTTCTGTGAGGAGCGAATCGGCTACAACTGGGCCTACAACACCATGCTCACCAAAACCTGGCGCTCCAGCGCCACCGGGGACGACAAGTTCGCCGACCGGCTGCTGAAGGACTTCACTGACTTCTGCTGGAACAAGGACAGCCGGCTGGTTCTCTTCTGGACCGACTGTCTGGACAAGATGCACGCCAGTGCTCCGTGAGATAGGGCTGCATTGGATCTCTTAGGGAGACAGCTAAAGCTTTACCTTGTGGCAAGGATGTAGAAGTGAAGGATGAGTGAAAAGAGCCTCTCTGTTGGATTCATCTTGAGGCTCCAAGAGGACCTGAACAATATTGCTGTTGATATTCAACAGAATTTGATTAAGTGCTTGGAAAAAAAAAGAATCTGAGCTCTTAGCTTGCCAATATCTATCCCCTGACTTCAGCTTGGTTTTAAGTAGCTGCAGTCCTTGATTGCCAAAACTTCAGTTAGAGCAGAGGTAAAGGAGGGAGAGTGCAAATGGTTTTCAAGGGCAGTTGGATTCAGCACAGTGTGGTGGTAGAGGCTTCCTGTCTGTGGAAATGATGGGTGCCCTTGGCATCTGCTGTGCCAGGCAGCAGCCTGCCCCTGCCTCTCCTGAGGTGTACCTGATTGTGTGAATATGTAAGATAAATGTGAGAGATGCTTGTTACATTTCATACATGTAAATAAGTAAAAATGCAGAAAAGCAAGTGCCCCGATGTTTTGTTGTAACTCCACAGACAGCAGTACAGAAAGAGTGAAAGAGAACAATTGCCAAGAGGAAGTACTGCTTCCTGTGCCCAGCTCCAAGTTCAGTGCTGGGTCTTTGTCTTTTAAGCATCCAGGACTTTGTCTCCAGCTCTGGATCTAGAACAGTGTCACACAGCAGGAGCAAGAAGCCAGTTACTGTCCTGCAAGGCCAGCACCAAAGCCTAAGGAGATATCAAGGGCCACTGAACACAAAATACTGCTGAGAATAATGAGCAGATTTTTAGAATGTGTCTGCACGCAGCAAAAAGAAGGTGCCTGTGCTCAAGTATGTAGCCTTTGCCTTTGCACAGAAAGCTCCCACGTGGCCCAGGGCCTCTGCACGAGCTGCTTATTTAAGTGCAGATTTAGGGTGGGTTCGCAACCCAGCCGTGCTGAGCGTGGGGGCTGCTGGCTCCTGCTGCGACATGGTTCCTTTTGTTACCTGTCCTCGAGAAACTGGAGTCAGGGGAGGGTTGACACCTTCACAATGGTGTTCAGACCTGATTCAGGGAAAATAATCGCAGCTGCTTCAGTTTCTATCCCCCAGACGGCGCCTGGATGACTCATCTGTTTTGAGACGGCACCCACCCACAAAAGGTGGGTTTGAGCCTCGTGCCTCTTCATTCAGTTCCTAAGTGTGTCAAAATCATCAGTGCGTGTCTGAGCCCCATTAACGACTTAAAAATTGCTCTCTACTATGAAAGCAACTCGCTGCCATGTACTCTCCCCCACCGTACAATGAACGGCGCCGTGCACGCGGTGGGTGCTTGGTCTGAGGGCTCCCGGGGCGGGGTCGGGGTGTGGGGCAGCCCTGGAGCCCCGCCTGGGCGGGGAAGGAGCAGCGGCTGCTTACCTGATCCCGGAGGACGAGGGTGAGGGCCAGGACCGGGACCGGGATGCAGCGCGTCCCTGCTCCTCCACCTCGCAGGTATTTAACAGCTTTTCCCGTTCTTGTCCGGCGGGGCTGGAGTTGGCCCAAGGGTGGGGTGTCCCCAAGGGTACCGCGCCGGCCCCCTTTTCCCTGGAAAAAGGGTAAAAACCAGCCCCGACGATTGCTTACACTTTGCAGTAACTGCGACTGCCCCGGCCTGAGAAAGCGCCGTTTTGGAGAAAAACTAATTAGTTTCACCTGAATTTCACCGAACTACTCTGTTCGAGTAGTTTTAACCTCTAAGCTGTGGATGTAAAGCTTAGAGTCAGTCTCCGAGTTTCAGGCCAAATTTAATGTGTCTTTCTGAGCTCAGTTTTTTCAACTGCAAACTTGGTGTGGCTTTAGCTTTTTCAGGGCTGCTTTAGGCCTAGTTTTATTTAAAACATTTTAAGGTCCTCGGGCTGCTTTTAATAGCACAGCGAATTTCTTTCCTTTAAAAAAAAAAAAAAGACATACCATAGAAGCTAAAAATAGGAGATAATAGTTTTTATCTAACCACAACTTTGTGCATTTCATGGAAAAAGTTTCCAACAGGACATGAGGATGAAGCAGTTCATGGCCATGTTAAACAGGAATAAAAACAAGGATCCCCCACCCTCCGAGCTGCTGGATCTAGCAGGAGAGCTTTGCCAGGACCTCCAGAGCTCATCCTCTAGTCTGGAGAAGCTGGTTGGGGCCATGATGGGATGCAAACACAAGATGTATTTTCTCACCAACATTCACATTGTCCGGGCTTGCGTGTTTGTTCACATCCGTAATGGGCAGCATGACACAGCCTGCAGCGTCCTGGAGGTAGGGATGTGTTCTTTGGTTCTTCATGGAGACAAAAAGCAGTATTGGAAAAACAGTAGTTAGAGCTGTTAGTGCAGAGGGACCCAAACTGCAGCACGTGGAGTGTTTCCAGCTGGCAGAAGGCAGTGGAAGGTGATATGTGTGCATTGGTTGACCTGAAACTCAGGATAAAGCCTTTGCTACAGGCAGTATTCATCAGCCAAGGGGAAGAAGGTAATTAGGTGATTATGGGGTTGGCTGTAGCAGGATTTTTGTTCTTTAATGTGGTGGTTCTTGGAGTTTTTCACAATCTTAGGACATAAACGTCTTGGGAAGCCCAAGATTAGAGTGCTTGTCAGGGTGGGAATATATGAGGAAGGCTGGATGGTGCCACTCACAGTGAGGGATTTTGGCCTCTTGATCTGGTCATCTAGCCCTTTTCACCAGGGGAAAAGAAGGAATTAAGCAGGCAACTCCCTGTGTACCTTAGAGAAGGTACAGGAGCCATATGCTCAGGTAATGTACCAGCTTTGTCAAACCAGCTGGAATCTCTGAGTAAATTTCTGTTGTTGCAGGTTTTCTCTTTTATAGGAAGTCTGACTGACTCCTGGGAAAGGTTTGTTTATACACTGTTTTGTTTTAGCAATGCAAGGCAGAAGAGAAGGAACAACTGGTGCAACTTTGGCACGAGGTTCACTATCGGATGGTTATGGAGAGATACCACAGGGATTTTCTGACACCACTGCAGAAATTCCGTTGCAGGAAGAGGTACTGCATCGTGGGGGGACCAACACTTTTTTCTCTGCTGTAGTTAGCAGAGGTAGGGGCTACAGATGCTAAGACTGGTTTTGCATGTCAAGGTGCTGCTTCTTGGAGCTGTTTTTTCTCTTGGTGTTTTGATCACTTGTGGCAATGTGAGAAAATTCCCATGAATGTCAATGACTCTCTTTGGAGTCTTTTTTAATCCTGTTTTCTCCTGTGTACAGGAATCCTCCACCTATTTCCCTTTGTCCTGAAGGTTTGAAGACTAGAAACTATCCAGAAGAAGTACGCCAGCACCTGCACAGGTTTGCTGCAGAGGTGACAGCAAACCCAGACAGGAAACAGCGGGTAGGGATATGTTACTTACAGTCAAGTCTCTTTGTCACAGAAAGCAGGACTCTGTCATCAGAAATCTGGAACTGGTGTTTTCAGAAGCCTCACTGGGGCTGGGATTCCTTGTATTTGATCTTTCCCTAAAAGTTTCTTTAAAAAAATCATCAGGTTCATGCTAAGTAATTTCTCTTGCTGTGGACAAGAAGTTGAGGGCAATAAATTCCTCTCTGGGTTTTTAACAGTTCTAATTTTGTAGTGATTGAGCACAGGCAGTCAAACAGTCGTCACTCAGAAGAGCTCTATTACAGTGACAAATAGTTCTGTCTGACTGGACTGAGTTACAGCCTGTGGAAAATTGCACTTTGTTCACCAGGACGTGTTTTGTGCTGACTTATCACATCAGATTCACAGCATTTGAAAACACAACAGGCTGTGTTGATGTGTGCATGGATCTACCTTCTTTGGACAGGGACAGATTTGTAATGGAAGTGATGTGTGAATTAGTTCAGTAATCCTGGTTGATCACTGCCTTGGAAGGTGAGAGCTTCAGACTTTGGAGACTGCCTCTGTGAAGGTGTTATTCTGGGGGGTGAATGTGCTCTGGTGAGGGCACTATTTGGTGAGCAATATAATAGCAGTGTGTGGTTTCCTTTAGCAAACAAATTGTCCGGGGGTGCAGGGTGTAATGTGTGTTTTCTGTCAGCTCTGAGGACAGAGGTCAACAACTCTGAGTTGGGGTCCTCAATCGGATCCACAGAGACTTCTTGGAGACGTAGTGAGTAAACTTCTCTGGGTTTGAAAGCTCTTGCTGGGCTGCTTTTGGAACTGAAGGGAAAAGCTTGATTATGTGGATGTGGTTTATTCTTTTCCCCTTCGTTTCTCCCTACACCTGGGTTTGCAGAAGGAATTGGCTCGGGACACGAACCTGCAGCCAGTTCAGGTCTATAACTGGTTTGCGAATTATCGGCGACGTCGAAAATCCTGCGTCCTTCCTATGGAACAGCACAACTCCTGTCCTGGGAGGGCTCAGGCTTCCCACGCAAAGGAGGAGCAGACTGCAGGTTTGTGTCTTCCTAATGGGCTTAGGATGTGGTCCAGAAAGCTGAAAATCAATTTGAAATTCCCTCGGGAAGGGAAGAAATTGCTTCTTGAGAACAGCATCTATACGCTGATGGATCAAGTGGGCGCTGGAGGACTCTGCTTCAGTGGAGTCCCTCGTTGTTTGGCCAGAGGCTGTGAGTCCATAGGAGCAGACACTCCTAAGACCTGTGCAGGGACAGGTGAAAAGAGATGCCTGGCTCAGAAGGAGCACCAAATGAAAGCAAATACATGGGAGGCAGCAGGTTTTAGCTCTCAGATTCTGGGATCAGGGCAGTACTCCTGGAAAAACCCCTATTTCCATGCCCCTCCACAGAATCTTAACCAAACTTCAGTCACAGGGAACAAGGGGGTCTTGCTGTATTTGGCTAATTAGACTTGTTTCATTGCCTTTTGGAGTAACCATTAGTGTTCTCTCACCTGCCTGGCCTGCACCTTTCAGGTGGATCTCATGCAGGCACTGGTTCTGAGCAAATGGAGATAACCCTCGGGCCCTGGGAGCCAAGGTGGGAGCAGTCAGCTGCAGATCTGATTGAGCCTCCCAGAGGAACGTATTTAGAGATGCTGGAATCCAGGTGATGTATGAAAAACACTTTATAAGTGACACTTCAGAGACAAAGCAACCTCTAAACATATTTGTGCAACTGAGTTTCGTGTCAGTTCCCAGAAGGCATCACTTAGGAGTCTTTACACCACAGATGGACATGGTCCGTGCCCAGTCAGAGCAGTTGATCTCCCAGCTGTGGGAGGGCAGGATTCAAAGGTTTAGCTGGGGGTCCCCTCTTGGCAAAGCAGTGTGTCTGGCTGATTTATTTTCTCCATCATTACAGCTTTATGCAGAGCACTGAGGTGTATGAGGCAGGAACAAGCATGGCTTTGTTCTCCACTCCCAACATTGAACAACCTGTACCTTTCTGCACCGAGGCTGTGCTGGAACCAGGACCCTGCTTTAGCCCTGCATGGCTGCAGCCCAGAGCAGCAGTGAGCAGTGCTGTGGCCAGCCCCCAGCTGGGGGGCTTGGTCCTGTACCCTTACAGGCCCCTTCCCATCCTGGATGAACAC